CTGTGCTTAACATCCATGTGGCCCTAAGTCTGGACAAAGAATCCCTTTCTATGAGTTTGGCTGGTATATCCCAAAGGCATCCTCAGTCTTGTCAGTGGCATGCCTACTTGCCAACAACCCTACCCCATTTATTTAAATAACAAGTTCAGTTGGTCAAATAAAGATTAAAGAGAAACAGAAAATTTATGAAAATGCTTAATTTATAATGTAACATACCAAACAAAATCCAAGCCATTTTATGACTTTTTCCTTGTCGGCCACATTGCTGACAAAGGTGTATATAATCATGCAATAATTTTAACCTACAGGACAGAGAACTGATTGAGCAAAAACCCCTACCCAAAATTATAAATTTGTTAGTTAATATCAGAGAAACAGAGTGTTTAGGAAAATGATTATACAAAACAAATGCTATTTTACAACTTCCCTCTTAACATCAGAGTCCAAATGCAATTTCAGGGCCGCCAACCCTGTTCTGAATTGCGACCTCCTGTGCTTGAAACGAGTTGCAGATTCTCGTTGCTTTGATGGAACTGGATATTTACATGGCACTACAATTCATCTGCAGAGTTGTGACTTGGTCACAGAGCCATCCTTGCCCTAGAGGTGGGATCGTTGCAGGCAACCTTTCGACCAGTGTGCCAGCAGCCATCTCTGGTCTGGGAAGATTAGTGAAAGCGTCATTGACAATTGATGCAGTCTTGGTAAGCTCCAGAGCTTTGCGCCCCCCCCTGAAAATTCGGTAGCATCATTGTATCATCGGGAGCACCGTGGTCAGATTAGCCTTGTGTACACAAGGAACGTGTGAATGACTGTAAAGTGTTCAAGGCAGCGTGCGTGCTTCAACGCCTGCTGTTTTCCGATAATCAAACGTTGCATATTTGAAATGTTTCTTCTGTAACAGTGTGCTGCCTTGACATCATCTTGTAATTATAGTAATATTAATATTATTATTATTATTGATCACGAAAAGTAAAATATTATCAATGAAAATCTTGTAATTACCCAGCAAGATCTGCTCCGCGTTTTGAATTCCAACTAAAATATTTATAATAACCAAAAATATCAATACAAGTAAAAAAAAGTACCTCTGGTTAGTTATTACGTCTTCTTTAGGAGACCCAAACCAAGCCAAACCAAACAACAACATTCACCTTGGACTCTGTCAAAAAATAAATTGTTTTTCCAAAAAAAAAAAAAAAAAAATCAAAAAAAAAAACCAATAAGATAAATAATTAGCGTGTACGCGTCAATTGTATCACAAACTTCTCTTTAATTTTTTTTTCAAAATGTCTTTTGAAAAAAATTCTAACAAAAGAAGAAAAGCCCAAACGGAAGAATTCGAAAGAGGGTAAGTGTTTTAAGAATAAGGATGGTGGTGGTGGTTATCGCCCGCCACTCGTCGTTACTCTAGTTTAACGTTAAGTTTGGATGGAAAGTCTGTGTTCAACTTGTTATTATATAGTGTAAATGAATTATATTCTCTGTAACTAATATTGTTTTTTAATTTCATTTTTGTTTAACACCAAAAGAAAAGATAATGAAGATGATGATATGGAAGGTATTAGTAGCAGCAACAATAATGGCAGTTGTGGCATTATGAATAAAAATAATTCAAATATAGAGAATAAATTAAATTTTATCAATCTAACACAAAATAGTGATGGTGACGATGATGGAAAGGAAGATAGCAATGTTAAAGATATTCAAACAACGGCTACTGAAATTGAAAAGGCTGCTGATGCTAAAGCCATTAATATTAATCAAAGTTTAATTAATAATATCGCTAGAACTAATAATATTATAAATAATTTTAATAACACTAGTATTACTATAGATTATAATGGTAATGTCACTACTATGGATAATAATTGTATTAGCAATGGCAGTAGCAGCAGAAACACTGAAAATGGCAGTAGCAGTGGTGGTAGTGACAATGGTGATAATAATAGTTATAGCAATAACAATGGTCATTATATCTTTCAACCATCACCATCACCTTATTTAGTAAGTAAATTCCATTCTCATAATTCTCATTGAAATACAGTGTTGGAAATTCAGATGTGCAGGGTATGTGCACTAATCAAATTTGCAAACTATCTTAGCAAAAAAGTTAACAAATTTGTATAACTGACACAATTGAATTTCCAACACTGGTTGAGTATGTAAATTTGTCAGGATCTAATAATTATATTTTTTTGGAACAAAAATTAGCGTTGTTTCAAATATGCACTAAAAGCCATATCGGAAACAATTGATGAATCTCAAGATATAGCCCATTTAAATAATGTAGTTGAAAAATACCAATTCACAATAGAAAAAATAACAAGAGAATTGGATCAACTACAGCTAGAAATGTACAATGACAGTACATTATATAACAATAATATAGAGGTATTTTTTAGTTATTCTTGTTTATTAATTATTATTTATATTTTAGAAAATTGTAATATTAATATTTGCATCAATATTACAGGATCTGCAGATATCAGAGGAAGAGGATGACAATGAAGGGAAAATAAACCAATAAGATAGTATTGATGATGTTGTTGTTTTGGAGAATATAGTAGAAAAAGATGAAGAGGAAAGACAAGAAATTGTAAGTACCACCAGTAAATGGACCTGACAAATAATTTAAATGAATCAACAAATACCAGATGTAAGTGCTGATTTTTAAAGATGTGTATAAAATTCAACCAATTGAATTTGCTTAAATAATTATTTGCATATCAATTTGTAAAAGTGACTAAATGATATTCTATACATTATTTTAAAATAAAAAACAGGCTTTTACACAAAACCACCAAGGTACAGGCCGTATAATATAGCTTTAAATGAAATCAGACGACATCAAAGAACAACAAATCTTCTTCTAAGAAGAATACCTTTTTCTAGAGTAGTTAGTGATCAGAAGATTATTATTACATTATTAATAATCATTTAATATACAAATACTAGTCAATTAATCATTATGTATATATATGTATAGGTTGAAGAAATTGCCACAAACATATTTCAACAACATTCTAATATGGGATTTGAGTTTGAATCCACAGCCATTACAGCACTTCAAGAAGGTAATTAATTGATTTATTTTTTGATTGAATCCTACATGTATGAATTTGTGAATTTATATGTGTGTGTATAATATTATATTTTTTTTTAATTAGCTGCTGAGACATATTTAATTGAGTTGTTTCAGGATGCGTAAGTTGATTTAATAATTTTCAATCTGTAAAAAGATAATGATTCTATTTATTCTATTAACAATATTACTATTAATAAAAAAAGCTTCTTCCCCATTATCATCATCAGTCAACTATGTACAATTCATGCTAAGCGAGCAACACTGTCAAAAGAAGATATTGAATTAGTACTAAATATTCGTGGTTAAGGGGTTGATGAGTTGATGATGTTTTTTTTTAATTTTTATTGGATTTTCTTTTTTTTAATATTAATATAATTCAGTGTGTAACAAAAAAAGCTTATTAAGTTAGGGTTATAATTAAAAAAATATATTAATATTAATATTATCACAATTACACTAAATTTTGATCCCTGTAATGTGTGCAATGTAATGTTCACTTTGTCTGGTTTTGTTGCAGTATGTCCCATATATGGATAACAAGGATATTGCAGAACACTAATTAACCTTGAATCTGTCCATTCTTTTTCTTCTGAACGACAAGGAATATACAAAAAGTCATGGCAGAAATTGATAGTTAAAATCAGCAGTAACACATGGTATATTTAATTGCCTTTTGTTTATGGCTGTGACAGCTTTAAAAACACATCAAAAAAATGTTTGGTTGAGAGTAGGAATGGTTTGGTTTGTATTTATAAGATAAAGGGTTATTAGATTTGCAAGTAGAGATCCCTCATAAGTTATTTTTGACATTTTTTCAACTGAAGTTTGAATATGTGAATTTAAAACATTTTCATTAAGAAGTTTATGTAGGCCTATTTTTACTGTAGATGGTGTATATTCAATATCAGGTAATCTGTTTTGAAGCTTTAATGATTTTTTTTGTTTTTTCAAAGATGGTGGGTTTTCAGTGTTAGGATTAGGTCTTTTTAGTGGATTTATTGTTTTTTGAATTTTTTTGATGGTAAATTTTCAGTATCAGAGATTGATCTTTTTACAGAAGACATTTTTAATATGAGATAGCAAAATTGGAGTTTTTTTTTATAATTTTATGAATAGTGTGAGTTCAGTTAATTAACAGATCAAAAAAAGTGGTATTATTTATATCTTGTTTTGAATATTGTTAATTATTCATTATTTCAGGTATTAAATAATTACAAAAACAAATAATTACAAATATCAAGCAAATAAAGACATTTTTTTTATAAGAGATTATTTTTGTATTTGTGATTATTTGCAATTATTATTATTTAATTTGGATATTCTAATTCGTATTTCAAAAACAAATAATCACTTCAATTGTCAATGGTATGATACAATAATAAGTAAAAATGTTTTAGCATTTTAAACAATAATCAATTCAATTAATTAATAATAAATGATGCTTTTCTTATAAAGTAAACAAAAAAATCAACTATATGATTTTCATCACACCAACTAAATATTAAAACAAAAAAGATGCTTTGCCACCACCAAAAAGTATTCTTAATTAGTAGAACATATGATAAAATAACAAAGAACAATAATTAATTCAATTGTTAAATTAAAAGCTCTTCTTAAAATGTAAAATAACAAAATCTATTCTTACTAAACAGTTCTCTTCGGTCAGAAAAAGATATTATTTATTATTGCATGATAAATGCTTATCATGTGGAAAAAAGGTGATCATGCAGTATATATGATTTTCCCAATTTTCCAAATTAAAAAATAACAAGCTTATAACTGAGAATGCAATGTGAGCTTTTTGTGTCACAAAACATGCATACTGTGCTACGCGAGAATAAAAATTCAATTAAGTTGGGTTTTGCACTTCTGCAAAAAAATAACATCACTTGGGCCAAGACAATAGTCTATTTTATTAAATTTGAAACATATAAATAGGACAGCTGTCCAATTTTTTTTTTTTTGTTATTTTTTCATAGTGAAATTCCTCTAGGCCATTTCAGCACACGGAACTCAACCTTCTACATTCAGCCACATGAAATAATTGTTTGTTATTATTATACAATGTGTAATACAAAAATTTAACCCACGCAATTGTTGATTGATTGACCAATTAAAATCATGAATTTAAAAATAAAACATTTAATGTGGGTTTGACTCATTTTGTCAACAATCACTTCACAAACAATTGTTTCATTAACATTAACAAATGGTTCGAATTTAAGAAATTGGAAGCAACCATTTGAAATAGTCTAATAAATTAAACTGTACTACTCAAAAATGTATTTAAAGGGTTGGTTTTTGACTTGGTTGAAGAATAACTCTCTTTCTAACTCTTCTCTTGACCATATCTCTTGATATAATCAAAATAACCTTAATATAACGAATGTCAAAATGATTGTAAACGTGACCAATTTAAGATATACAATCAAGAGAAAACATGAACGATGTATGAGAAAATCAAACAAATTTATTTAATAAAACAAAATTTACAACTCAAAAAATTTTTTTTTGTAATAAAATTCCATTATTAACTATTAACAATCCAATTATATAGATATTGAACCAACCAAGCCCGCTTATATAGTTATTGAATAATTGATAACAATAAAACATTAATTAAATATATTTTACAAACTGCTTCGTAGATCTCGACTTTAAGACTTACTTTGATCAAACCTGCCTATAACAATAAACGTTCATTTTGGAAACTTGATTTGCAAATAGATCTTGACTTTAACACTTACTTCTACCAAGCCCGCCTATATAATTATTTGAATAATTGATAAAGCGCTCATTAAATATATTTTACAAACAGATTCATAGATCTTGACTTTTAACACTTATTTCGATACAAGCTATTCAATAATTGATAAACGTTCATCAGTATATTTTACAAACTTGCTTTGGAAGCTTCGTATGTCGTCATACATCTTGTATTTAACAGTTTACTTTTTCTGTTTAATTTTATTTTTTATAGATTCGATGGACCATGTTATTGTAGGCGGAGTTCATTCTGAATGCTTTGTAGTTGACCTCCACATATTCGTGTTCTTCTACACGGCACACAGCCACCCCAATCACCGTATGTGTCCCACTGGCTGGCTTGATGAATATGGTTGACGACAAGATAGACGACATAGCAAATAATCAAAATTAAAGAAATACTATGCAAAAAGCAAGCAAGTAAAAAAGATTCGAAAGGCGAATTGGTTAGTTTTTTATTCATTTTTATTTATTTATACATCCCATATCAAAGGTCAATTTGATCGTTCAGATGTTTTTTTCAAGCCTACATCACCACAGAAGGATAAACTTTACAAATTTGATTGTTTTTTTAAAAAAAAAATCTTTTGTTTTGATCTTTTCTTTGTATTCATTTATTTTTATCCCAACTAAAGGTCAATTTGATCGATCAGATGTTTTTTTCAAGCCTACATCGCCATAAAAGAATAAATTACAATTGTTAAAAAAATCAACTAAGCTTTTTTTTCCTAATTAAAAGAAAAAAAGTTCCTTCGCAAAGAAGAACCCTCGTGTGAATCAAAAGCCATTTGCGAATTTCGATTGTTAAAATCTTTCGTCCTGATCTTTTCTTCGTGTTTTTTTTTCATCTATCGCTATAGAAGAATAAGCTTCATGCAAACATCAAATGTCATTTACAAGTTTCGATTGTTTTAAAAAAAATCAACAACTTTTTTTTTCTTAACCAAAAGGAAATCAGACCATCCACTATCCTTCAAATGGTCAAAATCAATCAAGTTTCTTATCCAGATCACCCACTATCTCTCTCAAATGGTCAAAATCCAAAAAAAAATTTAATTCAACACGAACAATCAAAAAAAGTTTGCACAAATTGTTTGTTTATCGATCATTTTTTTTTAAATTGACAACGAAATAAACCGTTTTTGAACCCCGGTCTCGTGACCAGAAAATATCACTAACACGTTGTGTGACAAGCCTTTGACGGTCCGAGATAAAGGTTCCAAGACAAGACCATCAGTTTTTGGTCATTTTGAACGGTCCGAAACGTCGAAGAAAGGCGAAGACCTAATGGTAGACAGCGGTCGACATCACGCAAAAAAATCTAAAGCGAAGCATGATTTCCTTTCAGTCAAATATATGTTTCGCTCAACCCTAACGTTTTGAACCAAAACAGATAACAATTGGAATTTCACACGGTACTGTGACGTAAAATAACCATAAACGTTTATCATTTTTTTGGAAAACGAAAATATTTCTGTTCAAATTTCAATTTTTATTAATTAATTAACAAAATTTCAAATCAATTTCAAGCCAGCGCAGCAAAGAAAAAAAAACGACTTATCACAAAGTTTTACCCTTTGACTTTTGATCTCATCCCTCCCAAAAATTCAGTTTACTAAAGTTGAGAAACAGGATGTTTAGAATATTCGTGCTGATTCGTGCTGATTCGTATCGTAACTGAACTGAATATTCTTTACAAATGAATGATTTCCCGTGCAACCAAACATTTCAAAATTGGGTAAGGTCGTTAAATTAGGGAAACATACAAAAAATACTGACAACATTTAGTAGGGCACCGTAACACGGAACCTTTTCTATTTTATATATGTTAAAAAACACCAAGTCGAGTTTATTTCATATTAATATATTTTTATATAATGTCACACACTAAACTATTATCATCGTTATCACCAGAAAGAAAGGAATTTGTATATAAAATTAATGCTGAAATGTGTAATAATGCAGTGATTAATAAATCTGGTAGAGAAAGTAGAAAAGATTATTTTTTTTCATTAGTCAAAAAAAACAAGGAGCTTTCTGAAAATGAAAAAGATTATTGCAGGGAAGACTTGATTTATAATTTTGAATTAATAAATGCAAAAGATAAATTGGGAAAACCAAAAGAATGTAACAAGTGTAAATTGACAAGATACTCTGATAGGTTCTGTGAAGGTTGTATT